ATATCTGGGTCTTCAATTTTGTTCCATTGATCTATGGGTCTATTTTTGTGCCAGTACCTTGTTGTTTTTATGACTATAGCTCTGTTGGATTTTGGGAAACTTTTATCTGACATTGTGCATTTGAGATCTTCCCAAGATCACTGATCTTGCCTTAAGGATTGGCAGGATCAGTGATATTAGTAAACAGGATTTTTTGTTTTGTGTAATATAATATGCATCTGGAAAAAATCTACAAAACCCAATGTAGTTCTATTTTAAAATTACTGACATCTGATGCCATAAGATCACACACATGTAAAGATGTGTCTGAAGCACTAAAGGGTTAATAACCTTTATTGTGCCAGTGTACAAAGCTCATTTAATAGGGTTTCACAGTCAAGATATTAATTAACCTTTCAAATAGCACTTTAAGGGGCTGGAGAGATGGCTCAGTAGTTAAGAGCACTGACTGCCCTTGGAGAGGATCCAGGTTCGGTTACCAGCACCTACATGGAGGATACAACTATCCTTAATTCCAGTTTCAGGGGATCTGACACTCTCTTCTGGCCTCCATGGGTGTTGCATGTACAGGTATACTTACATGCAGGCAAATCATTCATACACTTAAATTTCAAATAAATAAAAAAATTTAAATGCCACTTGTAGAATTTTGGTGTAACATTTATAATCTACAATTATCAGAAAAAGCCCTTATAATACTGGTAATGAGTTTGAGGCCAGCCTAGGCAACATAGTGAGTATCAGCTCTGCCAAGGTCACAAAGCAAGACCAAGTCTCAAAAGAACAAAAATTAAAAAGCATTTCCTCCGTCGTATCTGTGAGATCATGTTTTCTCATATGCTTCAACCAAAACAGCATGTCACCCCAGACTCAATGTAAAAGCAGATGAGGGAATCCATCAGCTTCTTACTCTCAAGTCAGATGGTGAAGATTTGTGAAAATTATTTTACTAATTATTTTATTTTCAGAAAATTGTTTTAATGCTATTTATTTTTTATTTATTTTTATTTTATGTATATGAATGTTTTACCTGCATGTCTGTAAGTGCACTTGTGTTGTGCAATTCCTGTAGAGGCCAGAAGAGGGCATTGGATCCCCTGGAACTGGAGTTACCAATGGTTGTTAGCCATCATGAAGGTACTGGGAACCCAACTTAGGTCCTCTGCAAGAGTAGACAATGCTTTAACTGTTGAGCCATCTCTCCAACCCCTAAAATATGGTATTTATAATAATACATAATAGGTTTGGTAGTAGTTTCAACCAAAATATTTTAAAGTTTTTCTATTCTGTAGCTTAATTTCCTCTTTTTCTTTCTTTCTTTCTTTTTTTTTTTTTTTTTTTTTTTTTTTTTAAGCCAGGGTCTCCATAGCTGGCCTGAACCTGACAATGTAGACCAGGCTGGGATTAGAAACTGTGCCACCTCACCAGGCTCTTTTCACTTTTTAAAAAATGTTTTAGTTATTATTTTTATTTTATGTGTATCAGTATATTGCCTGCAGGTTTGTAAGGGCACCCACATCCTGTAATGCCTGCAGAGGTCAGAGAAGGCATTGAATCCCCTGGCACTGGAGTTAAGGACGATTGTTAGCCACCATGTGGGTGCTGGGATTCAAACCCAGGTGTTCTGCAAGAATAGCTAGCACTCTTAATGGCTGAGCCATCTTCCAGCCCCTTCTTTTGATTTTTTTGAGCCAAGGTCTTTCCATGTAATGAGGCTGCTAGGATCACAGGTGTGAGTCACCAGGGCTTTGCATTACTAACATCTACTCTACTCTTCAGCTACATGTGAGTCTTTCCATTCTTCTTCTTTTTTTTTTTTTTTTTTTTTTTTTTTTTTCTTTTGAGCCAGTATCCCTGTAGCTCCAGCTGGCCTGGAACTTGAACTCACAGAGATCCATCCACCTGTCCCTGCCTCAAGAGTGCTGGGATTAAAGGTGTGCACCAGCCAGCCATGGTGACACATGCCTGTAATCCCAGCACTTGGGAGGCAGAGGCAGGTGGATCTCTGTGAGTTCAAGGCCAGCCTGGTCTACATAGTGAGTTCCAGGACAGCTGGAGCTACAGGGAGACCCTGTCTCAAAAAGACCAAAATAAATAAATAACAAAATTAGAAAACACCAACTATTTCAAAATGAATGAATGTAACAATAGTTAAGACATTTACTGAGCACTAACTAAAGATCTGCTATTACTGCAAAATCTGAGGGTAACTTGCATTCTTTAGTGCTTTACACTTTTCAAAGATTTCTATTATTTAAAAAATTTATTTATTTTTATTTTATGTGTATGCGTGTATCGCCTGCATGTAGGTAAGTGCACCCGTCATCATGCAATGCCTGCAGAGGTCAGAACAGGCTGTTGGATCTCCTGGGACTGGAGTTATGGACAGTTGTTAGCTGCCATGTGGGTGCTGGGATTCGAACTCGGGTCTTCTGCAAGAACAAACAGTGTTCTTAACTGCTGAGCCATCTCTCCAGCTCCAATTTTCATTTCTAAAAGAGTAAATAAACACAGATATGATCACATAAGCAGCAACTTTTCAGAATCTGAAATAATTTTTTTTGTCTTTTTTTTAGACAGGGTCTCCCTGTAGCCCCAGCTGACCTGGAACTCCCTATGTAGACCAGATTGGTCTCAAACTCACAGAGATCCACCTGCCTCTGACTCCCAAGTGCTGAGGTTAAATGTGTGCACCACCACACCTGGCAGATTCTGAAATAACTTTTTAAGAGAACAACTACTTTGCAAAGTGTCCTCTAACATATACATGGATATATTTCTAGTATGTACCAAGTTGTGTGATTATTTAAAGAAATAATTTCAAGGAAATAATAGCAAAGACCTAACAAGAATTGTCATCATGAGATAGTTTTTAAAAACTGAATGTGTGGGGGCTGCAGAGTGTCTCAGCAGTTAAGAACACTTGCTGTTCTTTCAGAGGACCTGGGTTCGATTCCCAGCACCCACATGGTGGCTAACAACCATCTGTAACTCCAGTTCCAGGGGATCTGATGCCCTCTTCTGACCTTTGCATGACACTGGTGCACTTATATGCATGCAGGCAATACATTCATACATAATGTGTGGTTATCTGCCCAGCTTTATTGCACTTAATACCTTCCCTTGCAATTAAATGGGAGTATATGTCTAAGTTTGCCTATTCAGATGTAGGCAAAATATTTGTATGTTATTTTGAGGGTAGTGTCCTTGCAAAGGAATGTCTCTTCTCCCCTCTTCCTCCTCCCTTCTGCCTCCTAGTACTGATGGCTGAAACTCTGGGACACAAGGAAAACAGACCAAGAATAGTAAAGTGGGGCTGGAGAGATTGCTCAATAGTTAAGAGTGTATACTGCTTTTGCAGAGAATTCAATTCACAGCACCACATCAAGCAGCTTAGAACTGCCTGTAACACCAGCTCCAGGGGGATTTACCACCACTGGCCTCCATGGGCACCTGCATTCACATGCACAGACCAGACACACTCAAGTATACATAATTAAAAATAGTAAAAATAAATCTTAAAAAAGAATAGTAAAGTAGAAGGAACCTAGCTTTTGAGCAACCTTGTAAAGCCTTCGTATGATCCCTGGATTGCCTTACCTCTAAACTTCTTCTTTGAAAAGAAGTAAACATTTTTTAGAGAAAAATTGTTTTGGTTTTTCATTGCATGTAGTTAAATCACATTCTTAAAAATGCATAATTTTAAATGGGAAAAGCATTACACACACACACACACACACAAACATACACACACACATACACACAAACATTTTTTCTTTCACAAATAAAATCTCAGGCCATGGGATGGGAGGAGATGGCACCATTAGCAAAATCAAAATAAATGAGAAAACAACATACTCTTCCACAATGTAGAAAAGACAGTCATTGCTCTAAGAATTCATGTTTTATTACTTTGAAAGACAATAAGAATAGTCAAAATTACCCTCTGTCACTGGAATAATAGTTCTTTCACAGTGAAGAATAACTCATATTTTTTTCATGGATCATTTAAAAATCAGGCTAGGGAGTTAGCTCAGTTGGTTAAGGAGCATAAAGACCTGAGCTCAGAACCCAAGTAAAAACAAGAATAAAAAAACTGGGCATGGTGGTATGCACTGGTGACACCAGTGCTAGGGATGCTGAGACGGGATCCCTGGGGCTCACTGGCCAGTCAGCCTAGCTGCTTGGCAAGTTCTAGGCTAATAAGAGACCCTATCTCAAAAAAAAAAAA